CTCTATCCCCCCGCCCCTCTCTCTCTGTGCTCCCCCTGAGCCGTCACTGTGTATTACACTGATATCACATTAGTATTGGTGAGGAGAATCCTATCACACGGGGGATACAACGTCTGTATGTGACTCCAGCACTCACCCATGCATGCTCAGCGCAGTCACGCCCCCTTGCAAGCCTAATTTCAGCTGGTGTGGAGAAGCTCGGTACAAGCTCCAGACGTCTAAAAGTTTCTGATTGTTGTCTCTCTTCTTCCGGCAGAATGGATCAGTATCGACAAAGACGAAACCGGGGCCGTGAGAGGGAAACCGCCGACCGTGTCCCGACCCAACCAGGAGCACAGCAAGTAATGTCTAACGCTTCATCTGATTGGCCGTCATCTGCCCCTCCCCCTCTTTATCTTTATTCTCCAGTTTACCGACATAGTACTTGCCTCTGTGTCTCTCTCTATGAAGCAGCCGGTGAGACTCGCAGAGGACGGAGAGCTCGTTCCAGACGTTCTGATGACTGACACTCTCATCTCTGTATATCATTGTAGATCTGTAAGCCGGAAGCTGACCGCCGCGGAACCCCCGGGACCGGCCCTCGGGAAGACATTCGAGGAGCCAGAAAAGGGTTCAGCTGTCTCCATGTGCCGTCCACCAGCCGCGCTGCCCGCCCCCGGCAAGGAAGATCCGGCACTGGCGCGGTAAGTGAATGGGAAAGCTGCAGAGGGCAGCATTAGAGTGTAAGCTCCTCTGTACAGAGACTGATGTGACTGTGAGGGGGAGGGGACATTAGAGTGTAAGCTCCTCTGTACAGCGACTGATGTGACTGGCTCAGTGTTCTCTGTACAGCGCTGCGGTATATGTCAGAGCTATATACATGTATACCAGCAAATATTTGAACATTAGTTCTGCTGCTGACCACCAGGTGGTGCTACATAGCAGATTAACAATTGACTTTTCTCCCAGGGCGCCCGGATACAAATAGTAAATGTGATCTGGATATATGTGTTGATTTTGAACCTGTGATGGGATACAAGCTACTTATGTGATCTCGGCAGACTAATCAGCTCTCCCCCCTGGACACCCCCCATGGAGCCGAGCAACCTTTACATTTCTGCCGTGGGCCTATTTATTCAGCAATAACTTCGCTATTACATTAAAGGAGAACTATGAG